ATAACTAAGATTCATTTTCATAAATAGTTTTATGAAGAAGTCATGCAATGCTTGTGGAAATAAACCTCCTTCTTTAAAATAATAGAAAGATTAGCAAATGTACACATTTTACAAGTAAAGTGGTTAACATATACATATGGTTATCACCCTTAACAGGAAACCATGCGTTATAGGCATTTGTGAGAACTTCCAATTCCCAACTTAAGGTGGTAACTATACTTATATATTAATCCCTTTGCGTGTGAAACAGGTGAGAATTGCAAACCCTTCTAAATTTTACAAGCAAAGAGACAACTTCCACTAGAATTCCATGACTACTTCACATAAAATCTATGAAAATGAATCCTACTAATGAGGATAAAGGAATAATAACTATTGACCCGCCTAAACATTATAGAAGTGATGGATCTCTTGGTATTGAGTTGATAGTCTTGGACAGTACTCTCAAAATAGCCCATGGATATAAAATCACCGAAATTCTTGTTACAAAATTCAAAGAGTCAAGAAATTAGGTTATTTTCATGCCTTCATGTGAATGGTGGATCCTTTATGGACATCAAATTTGGAAAATGCATAAGATTATCATATGAATTTTGTACCAGCCATGTAGCTCCTTTGGTTGTAACAAAATCAAAGTCCCTTTGAATCCCGCCCATTGGATAAGTGGAATCATGATCCATAGATAAGATAAATGATATGGTGCTTGTACACTATATTGCCTAGAACCCCAACATTGTTGAATTTTTGGGGCATTCCATTCCTATCTTTTTGCTCAGCTTGTTTCTTATCTTCTAGCCATAACCATTGAATCAAAGCACCATGTTTTTTATGAATATGTCATCGATGACTCGAGCCCCAACATCTAATTCTAAAACATCTTTCATCATGGTTTCTTTTCTTTTCTTTTTTTTGGGGCTATAGTATTTAATACTCTCTGTTTCTCTCACGTTTGTGTGCGTGTGTGGTGTCCCTCTCTCTCTCTCAACTTTATTTAATACGATGCATTCAATTTGTTCAATGAAATGAATGTTCATGCCTTCATGACAAGGAAGCCATGGCTCTGATAATGGGGTTGTTTTGATGAATGTTGGTCTATGGAGTAGAGTGGGTGGAGAGAGCAAGAATTGAAGGCACCAAATTTTTCTAAAAGTTTTGCTCATTTTTTCCACTCAAGCCAACAGGCCAAAGTACCCTTCCATCTAAAAGGGGACATCTAGCTAAATAAGCGCATGCGTAACTATGACATTCAAAAGTGGTTCTGACCATGGCGTATGCCATTTTGAGGGTTATTAAGCATAACTATCCCATATACAATCATTCGAGCCTTATCCCACTATTTGGGGTCGGCTACATGAATCCTATTCGACCATTCTGCTCTATTAAAGGCTATGCACTCAATTAAACCATACGTCACCATATATCTTCTAACTACTTCCATCCATGTCCTTTTGAGCTTTCCTTTTACGCTTTAGAGCCTTCCACTTGAAACAAATTGCCTCTCTTAGCAGGTGTTGTATTAGGTGTACGTTGTACACGGCCAACCCACCTAAGTCTACTTTCCCTCATCTTATCGCCTATTGGAGTCATCCCTAAGTTCCCTCGGATATATTCATTCTAAATTCTAGCCTTGCTTGTCATATCACTCATCCATCTCAACATCGTCATCTCAGCTACCCTCATCTTATGAATAAGAATTTTCTTGACCATCCAACATTCTGTCCCATAAAATATGGTTGGTCTTATAATCATCATATAGAACTTCCCCTTTAGTTTTATTAGTAAATGCGGCAATCACATAAAACTCTAGATGCACATCTCCATTGTGCCCACCCCTCTAATTCTTTGTGCAACATTGTCGTGAATCTCTCTATTCTCCTGGATTATCAACCCAAGATATCGAAAATAAGCTCTTTTAGGTATTTCTTGGACATCAATCTTAACTACCTCCTCGTTTCTACTTCTACTATACTGAACTTGCATTTCATATACTCCGTCTCAATCCGGCTAATTTTCAAACCTTTAGAATCTAGAGCATCCCTCCAAAGTTCTAACTTTGCATTGACATGGCCACTATTCTCATCAATTAAAATTATGTCATACATGAACAACATACACTATGGTGCCTCATCCTGTAGATGCCTAGTTAACTCGTCCATAACCAAAACAAAGAGATATGGGCTCAACACTGATCCCTGATGGTGGCCTATTGTCACTGAAAATTCATGTCTCACCACTAGTTGTACTCACACCAGTTAGAGCTCCTTCATACATATCTCTCATGATGCCAATATATCTTCTAGAGACTCCTTTTTTTTGTAACACCTACCAAATTAACTATCTAGATACCATATCATATGCTTTCTCTAAATTAATAAAGAGCATGTGGATGGAGGTCTCTTCCCTTCTCCCTAAACATCTCAATCAGCTGCCTAAATAGGAAAATAGCCTCAATTGTTGGCCTCCCTAGAATAAAACCGAACAGATTTCTGATACACTCGTTTCATGCCTTAGTCATTGCTCAATCACTCTCTTCCACAACTTCATAGTGTCGCTCACAATTTTGATCCCTCGATAGTTCGTGGGGTTTTATATGTCTCCTTAGTTCTTACAAATAGGTACCACAATACTTTTTCTCCATTTGTCTAGCATTTTCTTTGTTTTGAGCATATTTTCTTTGTCCTCAACATCTTGTTGAACACACATACATACATACATTATATCTATCAAAAATTGTTACCTATAATGAATACAACTTCAGCTTATGCTCTCAGCCATCAGATCTTGATTGGATGGTTAAATATACATATTACTATTTGAATTTTAATATCCCCAAAAAATTTCTACTCCTGTGGGAGCATACTATCCATCTACTGCCTCGGGCAAAACTTACACTAGGAATATCTTTTAGATCCCAAATTTTGGGATGTGATCTCTATAACCAAGCAACCAACCTCAAAGAAAAAAAAAATTAACCCTTACTCTCTATGTGCCTAAGAAAAATGGTATCCCAAGATTGCACCGGAACCATCCAAGTTATGGAATGAATGATCTAAATGTTCAAAAACTTAAAATTCAAAATTTTTTCTTTGAAAATAATAATCTAGATACAATTAGACGGATCCCAAACTTTCAAATAAAAAAAAAAAGAAAAAATGCCCAAAAAGTATTTTGCCCAAGGGAGTAAATACATAAGATGCTCTTGAGGGAGCAATAGTATACACTATCTTTTAATATTTTTTATAGAAATCTGTTCAAGATGAAATTTTGGGTTCATACTACATATTAGAGGGCACAAAAAAAAATATAAAACACATATTTTCTAAAATCGAAAAAGACCAAACTACCTCTTGATATGGCAGGGGTAATTTGGTCATTTGAACTTTTGAAAATATTTTATAATATTTTTAATATTTTTCTATAGTGTGATGTGGTGTCTAGCATGTCAACCCAAAATTTCAGCTTAATCTGATAGGTAGAAAAAATGTTAAAACTCAAAAAGTAACATGCACTTTCAACCATCCAATCAAGATCTAAAGATTGGGACCAAAACTAAAGTACTACTCATTTTAGGTGATAACCTATTGGTATATATATATATATATATATAATATATACTCTTTTCATTTTGATGAACAATTACAAAAAACAAAATTTGAAGATGCACCCTAAAAATGTTCTTTAACCCACTTAACATAGGCCGTCCGTTTAGTGAGATGCTTTAAGCTTAGGCTTAGAAGGAATTTTTTTTTTTTTCCTTTTCGAAATTTTGTAGAAGGCTTTGTTATCATTAGATGAACAATGTTAGAAAAGAGAAAAATTATTTTGGGTTAATAAAGGCCTAGATCTAAAATTTCACCAAGTGGACAATCTAGATTCATTATTGGAAGGGGCTCATTTTGACAATATCTAAGGTGCAAATTGAATTTTTTTTCTTTTTTTTTTTTTAGATTTTGATTATTGAGATGAGAAAAGTGCCTGGGCAAAATCTCACAAATATGGTTTTTTAGAAGTATGGTTTCAATATCTTACAATAACATGGTGACATGAAATCACTCCACTACATATATATAATGAATGTATTAGAGTGGGTTAATTCAATCATGCAATTGACAAGGAAACTATTGTAAAATTGGCAAGGAATTGCCACAGAGTGGCAAGTAGCTAGTATTTGACTTGTCGGCTCTAGACTGAGTCAATGCTTCATCTTAAGTTGTTGAGAAGGTAAACTACCAGGACAGTGTACAGCTACTCCAGAAAACGTCCAAACACAATTGTCTATAATCTATCAATATCTACACTAATGGTCAAGTTTTTTCTGGAAACCTTTTTTAAATAGAAAAGCAAGTTTTCCCTTGTGGTCTAACATCATTTGCTTATAAAATGTTCCAACCAGGTCATAGGGGCAGACCGCAAGATGTTAGCTTCAGATGATGGTAGGTGAGGTTTGGAGGGTTTCCATAACTCTTGGAGGCACCTAAGTGCCCATCCATTGCACTCCTAAACTTTGATAACATAATGTGATAATTCGAAGGTCAAATTGGTATTGACATCATATGTATGGGAACCTTTCAAATTGTATGGATGGAAGGAAATTGTAGGGTTTTGATGCCACAGCGCCTAATATGGCATGGTTCAGGCTAGCCAATTACTTTTCTTCTAAATAATTGGGCCTATTTGTCTGCAGTAGCTAAAATACACTCAATGACATTCAAAAGAATGAAGAAGACCTTGCAGAATTTTCACAAATTTCAATGAAAATGGTTCAACAATAAGTAGAAATTTACTTGTTCATGGTCATATATTTTTGCCTAATATGTACTCGTAAAAACCCCTTTTTCCTTGCCTATCACAGACAAAATTGACAATCAGAACAATAAAGAGAAGTTACAGACTATATTTGTACCTTTCAATATAAAAGGAAAGACTCTAAGAAGTAGCTAACAAATTGGCACTAAAACACCCAGTCTGCTAAACAAGCTGCTAGGTTTCAAGTCACTAACCGGTTAAGTCTCATCATCATCTTGCAATATCTAGAAAAGAAAAAAAAAAAAAAAAAAAACAAAGAAGCAAAATTTCAATTTTGCCATAATGATTTCTTTATGCATATTGATAAAGGGCAAAGATCTATAAGGTCTAGGACAACCATTAAATTAGGTGGTCCAGACCCCAAAAAACAGAAGAGGATCTTTTCAATCTGAAATTTATTATATCATCTTTCATTCACAGAGTGAACAAATCCAAAAGAGAGACAGAGAGAGAAAGAGCTTTTGAGTTCTTGAAACCCTAGAACTTCATTACACTGACATAGACAATTCAGAGTCAGTCTTTACGGGGGAAGCGTTCTGAAGCTTTTTTTTTGTGCTTGAAAAGATTTTTTTATGAAATTGATCTTGGGGGTGACTCATGATAATCTGAAAATTTTTAGATCAATAAAAATCACCTTATGTTTTTTGGGGGATAGATGACCTAGTCATATGATCGAGCTAGACCACATAATACAAACCCATTTATAAATGAGATTTATAAGGATTCGATTTCCATATTTAGATGGTAATCAAATGCCTTTAAAAATCCAATCAGCCTTCCAGGAACACCATGTGCATGACGAGTCTAGACTTGCAAACAACGTTTGTCCTTAATTATAGAGAGCTGCTAATAAAATCAAGGTACCCTCTGATTTCTCTACAAGGTAAGACACTTACAATATCTAGGAACTAGTTGTCTCAATTAATAAAATATGGATGACGATAATCAAATATAGAAAAATCCAATGCGCTTATGTTTGTGCATAGAACCAATGATACTCTTGTGAAATTTATGGTGCGAATAACAATTTGGAAACAACAAAAGCATAAAAACATAAGAGGTCATAGAACAATGAGTAGAAAAATTATTACCATGCACTCTTTAGAATTATATATGTTCAAAGCCTCGTAAAGGAAACAACCACCAGGCCACAATAAAGAGTTTATAATCATCTCGACAGCAATACAAATGTACAAGCAACAATCATGAAACATGAAGTCATACCTTTGAAAAATGCAGTTTGGTCTATGCCAATTTCATTTCTAGAAGCTTTTTCATGTCCTGGCGAAAAGATAATGAACTTCAGATTTGCAAGCCAGCAAAACAAGCACAAAATTAAGTGTAAAACTCAAATCTAGATTCAAAAGAGGCCGATGATACCAACGCCATCACAAAATAGAAACTACCTATAGATCCAACCAATAAAAGCAGGACAAATGCTTTCAAAAGCCATTGATAGCATGCCATGAACCACATGACACAAAAACAAGGACACTTCTAAACTTCTACTCTTTGACAAGTGATGCATATAAAAAATTTGGTTTGTTAATAAAAAGATATGGAGAACATGCGTACTTATAAGTAACTTAGGATTGCAATTATTTAAAGGCTACCTTACCTTTCTGAATTTTCAATTAGGAAAAGTACTTGATGGGTTTAAATTCAAACAAATCAGTATATGCAACACATATTCTGAATTCAATAAAATGTACCACCAATATGCAGTCTACCAAATGGTTGGTGCTAAAGACAACCAAAGAAAAGAACTACACAAAAGAAAACCAATTACAATGAGATGGATTAAATGCACCTTCACAAGCTTATCACAGTTCTTAGGACTCAAACATAATGTCTTTAAATAAGACTTCAAACGAAAGGTTTCTTCAAGTACAGGCAAGCAAGTCGAAGATTTCGACTTGGCAAAACTTTTCTGCTGCCCTTTTAATTAATAGAGAGGTTCTAGCCCATATAAATCAAACAGAAAAAACTATGAGGACAAAGAATTGGACATGATTTCTTCCATAAAAGCAAAAACTCAAAGACACTTCACATTAGCTCGATCTTGAGCTTCATTACATTCAAATAGAAAGCGCTTTAGCTTCATGTTAGCATATGAAACACATGACATATTAATCAACTAATCAAATATGATTGTAACTTCAAAAATGAACCAGTCATACTTATGGCAAAATGTGCCAAATTGTGCTATCCAAAGTTCATACTCAAGGATTATGATGTTCAAAACCTTCCTATGAAAGAGCAAGCAATGCATCAAATTCAGGATGCAAGTTTAATAAACCAAGAAATAGACCCATCACTTATGGAACATAGGGGAAACCAATGGATATTTGACGTACCATTATCCATGATCATGCTTCACTAACAAAGAAAGCAAAAAGAGTTACACATTAGCTTTTGGTGAATTGCCATTTCCACTGCTTCTAAGGTTAATAAATTGAGGAGCATGAATGGAGAAAGCTTAAGCTAGAATGAACATCAGAGTGCTAGAATGAACATCAGAGTCTATGATAAATTTTAAAGTGTCTGGGAGGAAAGGGTTCCCAAAATTTAGGCAAATAGTACATGTACTGGAAATCTCAGGATAATGGATGTGAAATACAAATCAACAAACAATATTATGCATCAACAAATCCCAAAAAAATTTAGCATTCAAAAAAAAAAACAGAACAAATGCAAGAAATTTATTTACCCAAAAAAAATGCAAGAAATTTTAACTCACATCTTCACTTAATTTCAAGGCTCAAAAACTCATCTCAGGCATGGGACTCAGGCCCTGCCCCAGCCAAGTAATTCGGATGAGTCCGGATGGACTTGCGCAACAAATGTATGGGACAAAAGCAGACCTAAAAATTAATATATATATATATATATATATATATATATATATATCAAATAATTGTTACAAATAAAATAAAAATAGTAAGAATCAAACTAAACTAAAATTAACATTGAAAGTTCAAACAAAATATGGAAAAATATATAAAACATAGATTAGAAAAAATTGATTTGTAACCAGACAATTCAGAAAAATGAAGAAAAGGGGAAACTAAAAAAGGGTATATGACAAGAAGCACTTACAAATCATCATAAAAAACATCCAAATATACATATAGAATAATTATGCATTGATTTTACACTTTAACATAATTTTTGTGATTTTTTATTTTCTAAATATCCCCAAGGTTTGCAGCCAAGTCCCTGAACACTGCCTCATTTGTGAAGTTAATAGGAAATAAAACTTAACCAAGAAACACATAAATTCTAGTAGTGTTTATAAATAAAAAGGAATTATGCATACAATGCATCCCATATAATATGTCTCCAGCTAAAATTTTCATGAATTGATGTAGGAACAAGACCCAACACCAACTTCTTCTTCCATGGATTGATTCTAACAAATAAACGTCAAAAGTCCAGTAAACAGGAAGACAGAACAATGAAGATAAAAGTAATTTTCCCCCGTTTTCACCTGCAAAATATGGTCAGGATCACCAATTCACAATAAATCATCAATAAAAGGGAAATAAAATTTAGAGCATTGATCATCATTACCAAAAAATACAGATATATTAAAAAATTGACTCATTTGGGAGAAAGATAAAAAAAAAAATCATGGGCTGGAGATAACAAATTGTCATTAACCAAAAAATTAGGCAATTTATTAGAGTTGGATTGGATAAAGGCTATGGATATAGGCATTTAAAAAAATGACCACATAAATGTATATAAAATAAGGTTAAATTGCAAAGAGAAAGAATGAGAAAATGGTATTAACGTTATACTGTTTCCAAAAGAAGAAAGAAAATGCAAATCGTACCTCGAATTGTTTCCTTCTCCTACAAGAATCTAATGCAAAAAATTTTCTCTTCTTTACCCTCTGCCCAACCCTTCTTTTTATGACCGACAATCTAAGTCACTAAGGGCCGTTTGGATACCTGGAAATATATTGACATTACTGCAAATGGATTGTTTCTGTACCTGCATATGGATTGTTACTGTTTGGGTAGTATTTAGATGCAACCTAAGAAAAACATTGCTACTAGGTTGCCACAGATTTCTATTGAAATGCGGAATTAAAGTCAGCATCACACCAATCCAAAAAGATTTTTTAATACAAAAAAAGGCATCAAGAATACACAAAAAAACCTTTTAAAAGAATTTATTTCTTTTTTTGTGTCTTTTGGGGTTGTGCAATGCTTATCATGAGATGGGTCAAAAGCCCTGTTCATGTTCCTTCCATGGGGGCTTTGGACTCTGAGAATGAATAACAGAGCTCGAGAGTGTCTTGAAAACAACCACTAAGATGTTGCAGGTTCAGGTGGAGGTCATGGATTTGAAGATTTCAAATCAAATTGGGAATTTGGGGAGAGAGTTTGGGCAAAAAGTTGAGAACCAAGAGGCTTCATTTTCCAATGAGATAAAGAATTTTGAGAGTAGGACTGTTGGGTTAGAGGTCATTTTCCAATGAGATAAAGAATTTTGAGAGTAGGACTGTTGGGTTAGAGGAATCACTGCATAAATTTAGAGATATGGGTCTGCTTATGGGCTTGGTAGGGTGGACCATGTATTGGCTTCAGGAGGGGGTAAAGTGGTTAGACACTCAGAATCTTATTAGCTTATTAAATGGCAAGGTTCTTACTGTTGTCAAAGTAAGAATTGAAGTTCACAGTAATGCACAGAAGAACACAGCAAGAACGATCTAGGTTTTTCAATAAAGGAAAACCAGTAAAAAATCAAAAATAATTTAAGAGATTACACCATCGATCTACCATCTTAAACAAGAAAAAGAACACAAAAAGAGGCAACAAAAATAAAAAGGTAAGAGAAAGAGGTTTAGAGAGAGAAACGCAGAGGTTTAGAGAGAGAAACGCACCTGATATGATATATCAGAAGCTTGAAGAGAGCTCCAATGGCCACCCTGGAAAGGAGAGGATTAGGTTTCAGGCGAGACAGGGAGACAGAAGGAAGAGAGAGCACTTCGTGAGAAAAAAATAAGAGCGCTCCGAGCCTGTGGCTTTATGGACGAGCTGGCTTATAGATTGGGAGTAACAAAGCCTTGTTCTGGGGGAGAGGGAGAGGGAGAGAGGCGAGAGAGAAAGAAGGTAGGGCTTAATCTGTTAGGTTTTTTAGATGTTGAGCCACCCTGAGATTTCGAGATTTGAGCGGGAGATAGACTTTTTGAGCAATTTATCCGAACGTAACTTTTCCTAGCAACTCCTCAAAAAATA